TCCCGTTGGCTAACTTGGTGTTCCGGCAACATGTCTCATAACAAAAAACGGTCAAGTCCGCTGAACCCCAAAAATCAAAGATCCAAAAAGTCAAAGACTGAAAAATCGAAGACTAAAAAAATCAAAAACCTAAAAATCAAAGATCCAAAAATCAAAGACCCAAAAATCAAAGACCGAAAAATCAAAAACCCAAAAATCAAAGACCAAAAAATCAAAGACTGGAAAATGAAAGACCAAAAAATCAAAGACTGAAAAATTGAAAACCCAAAAATCAAAGACCCAAAAATCAAAGACCGAAAAATCAAAAACCCAAAAATCAAAGACCAAAAAGTCAAAGACTGAAAAATCAAAGACTGAAAAATCAAAGACCCAAAAATCAAAGACCCAAAAATGAAAGACCCAAAAATGAAAGACCGAAACTCAAAAACACAAAAATCAAAGACCAAAAAATCAAAGACTGAAAAATCAAAGACTGAAAAATCAAAGACCGAAAAATCAAAGATCCAAAAATCAAAAACCAAAAAATCAAAGACTGAAAAATCCAAAACCCAAAAATCAAAAACCTAAAAATCAAAGACCCAAAAATCAGAGACCAAAAACTCAAAGACTGAAAAATTAAAAACTGAAAAATCAAAGACTGAAAAATCAAAGACCCAAAAATCAAAGACCAAAAAATCAAAGATTGAAGCAATGGCATAGCCACGAAAAAAATCAATGGCATAGCTACGCCTGCCACTCAGCAGTGCATTTTTTAAGAATTCTTCAGTGGTGGGGCAAAACTGCCAAAGGGCCCATTTTCCTTGCCCTTCCTCCAGCATAGTATGCAATCGCCGAAGTAATGTTTTTATCAATAGAGTTAATCATAAAACCACAAGCATTAGACAAGACTTCTTGTTATAAATGTAATGTCACTAAAGGGGAAGTCGGTCGCGCGGGGACGGGGATTAGATTTTCAAAAAAGTTTAAAAGTTAGGGGTTATTGGTTAGGCGTTAGTGTTAGGGTTAGGTGCCGCGAATTTATTATTATAAATTCAAAATGTGCCGCGAATTTATCATAATGATAAATTCGGACGTGTTTGAGAATTTACTCATATAGTAAATTCAAAGGTGGAGCTCATGCTGGGAAATTGATAATCAGATGATCAAAATGATTATCAATTTCCCGTTTGTATACAAAATGACTGAAAAACGGCAAACTTCGCAAGGCTATATTATCATATCCGTATTTTACAACATTTCGCAACGAAACTTCGGAATATTACTAATTTTGTGATGCTTTTTCAAGCTGTGATGAAATGTTTGTCCAGACTTGTCTAGATCAAAATTTCACTCAAAAGGGGATTCTACTGGTAATTTCAAAATATTGGTTGGATCGGATGCCAAAATTTGAGCAGGACACATTCATAGGCGTACCGGGCGGGGGGGCGGGAGGGGCGGCAGCCCCCCCAGTTTTTTGGGCAGTCGGGCAATATTCGATGAACAGTCGGGCAATTTTGGTTTGCAATAAAAAAAAATGGGTCAAATTTTGTCAATTTTGTCTAAAATTAATTCAATTTTTTGGCAAATTTTGTTTTTTTCGAAAATTGATGTTATGCTCCGGAAAAAT